GCTTATCTTCTGGAGTTTGTGTGTTGTTCATTATGGTTTGTATCCTGTTAATGTTGTGTATTAGGGTCTCTAGCATTGATCCTATTTTTTTCTTTTATGATCTTTATAGTTTCTGGCTTTATATTTAGGCCTTTGATACGTTTTGAATTAGTTTTTATATATGGTGTGAGGTATGGGTCCGGTTTCATTTTTTTGCAGTTGGACATCCAGTTTTGCCAGCACCATTTGTTAAAAGGACTGTCTGTTCCCCATTTGATGGACTTTGGGCCCTTGTCAAAGATCAGGTGACCGTAGTTGCACGGATTTACATCTGGGTTCTCAGTTCTGTTCCACTGGTCAATGTATTTGTCGCTGTACCAGTACCAGGCTATTTTGACTACTGTAGCTGTATAGTAGGTTCTGAGGTTAGGTAGCGCGAGTCCTCCTACTAATTCTTCTTCTTTGATAGTGCTTTACTTATCCGGAGCTTCTCTTTCCATATAATGTTAGTGATTAGTTTTTCCATCTCTTTAAAGAATGTTATTGGTATTTGGATCGGGATTGCATTGTATTTGTAAATTGCTTTGGGTAGAATTTTCATTTTCACAATGTTGAGTCTACCTATCCATGAGCGTGGTATGTTTTTCCATTTATGTAGATCCCTTTGGGTTTCTTGCAGTCGTGTTTTGTAGTTTTCTTTGTATGGGTCTTTTACATCCCTGGTTAGATTTATTCCTAAGTATTTTGTTTTTTTAGGGACTATTATAAATGATATTGTTTTCCTGATTCCCTTTTCATTGTTCTCTTTGTTGGTGTATAGGAATCCAACTGATTTTTGTATGTTTATCTTGTATCCTGCTACTCTGCTGAATCTTTCTATTAGGTCCAGTAGTTTTCCTGCCACAATAAAGTTTTTTAAAATAATGAAATTAAATTTTTAATTTCAAAAGACAATAAAAAACAAAATCATTTCTAATAAAACTTTATGTAAAACAAGAATAAAAAAAGTATCGAGAAAATAGCAATGCAAATTATTTCCATAAGAGATAGTATTGATTAGTTTATATAGAACTGAATATCAGTACAATTTTCTTTATGTACTGATTCCTAATTTGGGGTACATAATAAGGTCACATATCTTTTAATATTTAAATTAAAATGACTCCAAGCCCCCATTATCCTTGTGGTAAAAATATTTTCTTCCATCCTTGGAGTTTCTCTTCCTATGATAAGCCCATCAGAGTTTGTTTGAACCAAGAATTAGTACTAGGTGTTGTAGTACTAGGTGGATAGTACTAGCCTCACCACTGGAGCCAGAAATCTGACTCCTTTAATCTGGAGGATTCCATAGCCATCAGGAATTCTTGGTACTACAGTGCAAGCCACCACCCTGCTGTTACTGCTAAAACCCATGGCTTGCTGTTGCTTATGAAGCCTGAGCCATCTGAAGAGATTTGTCATGGCTACTGCTTCTCCTCCCTTTTGTGTCTAAAAAGCGAGTTCCGATTGTTCTTACTTTTATACCAAATCAGTGTGCTAAAGGATTAATAAAACCTTTTCCCCCTTCTGTATGAGATTTTGATCTTTAATTGACTATATAACTCTCTTCTCTTAGCGTCTGTCTTAACATGGTGTGTTCACAAATAAGTGAAAGTTAAACAACACACTATTAAACAACCAATGGGTCGAAGAAGAAATCACAAGGGAAATTAGAAAATACTTAAAGATGAATGAAAATGAAAGCAGTACATACCAAAACTGATGGGATGCAGCAAATGTAGTGCTCAGAGGAAAATTTGTAACTGTAACTGCCTTCATTAAAGAAGAAAAAAGATAACAAATCAATAACCTAACAGTACACTTTGTTGAACTAGAAAAAGAAGAGGAAACAAAGCCCAAAGCTACTAGAAGTAAGGAAATAATAAAGATTTGAGTGAAGATAAGTAGAGAATAGAAAAACAATAGAATCATTGAAACAAAAGTTGATTCTTTGAAAACATCAATAAAATTGAACAACATTTAACTAGAATAACAAAAAAGAGAGAGAAAACACAAATAACTAGAATCAGAATGATAGTGGAGACGTTTCTACTGACCTGAGATAAAAAAGGATTATAAGAGAGTACTATGAACAACTGTATGCCAACACATTAGATACTCTAGGTGAAAGGGACTAAGTCCTAGAAACATACAAATTACCTAAACTGACTCAAGAAGAAATACAAAGTTTCAACAGATCTGTAAGAAGTAAAGAGATTGAGTCAGTAATCAAAAACATCCCAACAAAAAGGCCAAGACCAGATGACCCCACTGCTGAATTCTACCACACATCTGAAGAAGAATTAACAGCAGTCTTTCTCAGACTCTTCCAAAAAATAAAAGAGGAGGGAGCACTTTTTAACTCATTCTACGTGGCCAGCATTACCCTGATATTAAAGTGTGTGATAACATCACAAGAGAACTATAGATCAGTATACCTTATGAATATAGATGCAAAAATCCTTAACAAACTACTGACCAAATACAGTAGCATATTAAAGGGATTATGCATTATGGCCAAATAGATTTGTCCCAGGAAGGCAAGAATAGTTCAACATAAAATCAATCAATACAATATACCACATTAATAGAATGAATGTGGCGGGGGGACCCATATGATCATCTCAATTGATGCAGAAAAGGCATTTGACAAAATCCAACAGCATTTCGTGGTAAAAAAATGCTCAGCAAATTAGGAATAAAAGTGAACTTCCTCAACAAAGGGCATGTATGAAAAGGGCATTAACAGCTAAAATCATACTCGATGAAAGATTAAAAGCTTTCTCCCTGAGATAGGAATGAGACAAGGATGTGCATTTTCACCATTGCTATTCAACATTGTACCAGAAGTTCTAGCCAGAGCAGTTAGGCAAGAAAAATAAATAAAAAGACATCCAAATTGGAAAGGAGGAATTTCTGTATCAATTGAGATGATCATATGGTTTTTTTCCTTTGTTCTATTAATGTGCTATATTACATTGATTGATTTTCTTATGTTGAATCACTCTTGCATTCCACAAGAAAGTTACTGGAGCTAATAAAATGAGTTCAGCAAAGTTACAGGGTACAAAATCAACATGTAAAAATCAGTTGTGTTTCTATACATCTGTAGTGAACAACTTAAAAAGGAAATTAAGAAATCAATTTTATTTACAATAGCATCTAAAAGAATAACGTATTTAGGAATAAATTTAATAAAGGAGATAAAAGACTTCTACACTGAAAATTGTAAAACATTGCTGAAAGAAATTAAAGAAGACCTAGATAAATGGAAAGACATTCTGTGATCTTGGATTGGAAGACTTAATATTGCCAAGATACAATATTACCCAAAATGATCTATAGATTCACTGTTATCTCCCAACCCCACACACCGTTTTCCCTATTATTCTATTCCTGGTTCACTCTTATTCCTAGAATGTAGCCCTTTGAGGCCCTAAACCAAAGAATTCACCAGGGATCCCCTTCTTGGCATACCCTGACTGTTGAATCTGTTGAGAGCTCTGCCCAGCTTGTCAGTCTGCCAACTGCCTCTAATAAAGCTGGAAGTCATCTGCCGGTGCTGGAATTGGCAGATACCTCTGGGAGAAAATAACTCAAAATGCTATGCTCGCCACTGTAGATTTCCAATTTTTTCCCTGGTCTTAGCTTCATAATGCTTTATTGCCTTGTTAATCATCTGTGGCTTTCATGCAGATAATTGTCTTAGCTACTTTAGTTCTCAGTGGGAAGGCTGGTTCAAATTACTTTGGTTCAGTTATAATTATTGAAAATAAAACTCTCCCCCTATATTTACTCTGTCTGTGAATAGTGAAGTTTATGTTTTCTACATTTTTTTCACTTTTTTTTTTTTATATTTTTATTTCAGATAGCCTCATTATTTCCCATGTATGTTGTGGGGTACATTGAGCCACACAAATTTCAGAAGATCATTTATATGAACATGGTAACATTTTTAATATTTATAAGTAAAATATTAAAATAAATTCTCACAGGTTGTAAAACAGAACAGATCCTATTTTAAGGGGTGCCTCCTCTTTGACAGTATACAGTATATATAATGTTTATGATATCCAGAGAAGAAAGACTGAAAATGCACCTTACAGGTATATTATAACAGAAGATTGTATTTTCAAATAGAATGTAGATGTATTGTACTCTAAAACTTTATTATTTTATCTTTTTATATATTGTATTTATTATTACTTTCACTTATTTTGAAACTTCCTTTTCTTCCTGAAGCCTGAGGTTTTTAACCCTTTGCATGAGCATGCCACTCTGCAATGGAAGTTTTTATGTTGTTGCAGTTTTGTTTTTATTTTAGTTCCCAAACACACTTCCTAACAACACACAGGAGACTAAGTAAAGCTTCACAAGTGATGGCGATCCTCTGTAATCCAACAAAAATAAGATTGAGAAAACGGATGGTTATTACTAAGTTTTCATTAATATGTTACTCCGTTCTTGAAACAATAGAGGTTTTACTTATTTATTTTTCTGTTTTCTTTGAACTAAGTAGCAGATGAAAAAAAGAATTATGAAGAATTTACGGTACTGAATTTTCATACTTAAAAACTGTTAGTGAGTTGAAATTCTGTTGATGTTTGGCCAAGATCTACTAGTCTTCTTTATGCAAAATACGCATTTTGCTATGTACCTAATAACTATAAACTGTGTTTATTTTCTTCATTTTGCAGATTTCAGTTCTCCTTTGTTTTATTTTAATGTTTGGAAATCCAATGTACTTATCTTCTTACTATTCATCATCTTTGTTAATGACATGGGTAAGTGTTTAAACTCATAAACTTTTTTTTTTTTATCTGTCACTTAGCAGATTTACTCATCTAACACAGGGTTAGGAGAATAAATATGTCCCTTTCCTGGTTATCATTCACATGACAAGACTTTTCTAAGTAAAGATTTTTCTGTATTTCATCCTTGAAAAGTAATATAGTACGAAGTTTATCTTTTTAAGGAAGTACTTATATAAATATTTTTAAATGATCATAAGTTACTGAAACTTAATTTTAAAACATGCCACAATTTATTATAAAAACGACTCATTTCCTTCTAAGTCACTTCAGTAGCATAGATACTTATTACAGTGACACTGCCATTGCCCAAAACATTTTTGGCACTCCTCTGAATTGCCTTCACAGACTGTGGGACATTCTTTTGAATATCCTCAATGGTGACAAATCTTCATCTTTCAAGGGTGGATTTGATTTTTGGGAACGACCAAAAGTTATTTGGAGTCAAGTCTTGTGAATAAGGTGGGTGATTGGGCTGGGTAATATTGATCTTGATCAAAATGTGGTGTGACAATAAAGTAATAAGACCGATTTTCTTAAGACCTGGAAAATTATCTCTGAAGGCAGTTTAGAAAGAAGAGTTCCAAAACTGTTTTGAGCAATGGCAACATTAAGTGTATAATCTCCCCGGCTTGACTTACTTTCATGGACTGGCATTCATTTAGATATGTATTTGGAATAGTGGTTTAGTAAATCAGTTTCATTACTTTATAGTCACACTTCTGATATTCATAAACAGGAACCTGGAATGTTCTCCCCCCATCTCCCAACTTCACATTTACTAGAAATGATACAAACCACAGTAACACCAAAATACAGCATTTTTCCAAGTGTAGTGCACTACTTGAATCTTTTGGGATTGCCTTCATATTTTAACATTTTTCCTTCCTACACCTTTTTTGCCTTTTAGTAACAACCCCTTTCCTCTCTATCCCAACTGGTTTTTTTTTCCATTAGTTCTACTAGCTTTTATATAGATTCCATCTGATTTCATACATAGATGATCATGTTGTCTGCAAATAAAGACTTCTGTCTTTCTAAACTATGTCCTTTTTTTAAATCTTTTTCTCACCTTTTTGAACTGGCTAGGACCTCACTACAGTGTTGAGTAAAAGTGGTGAGAGTGGACTCCTTTGTCTTGTGTCTGATCTTAGGGGGAAAGCATTCAGTCTTTCATCATTAAGGGTGGTGTTAACCAGTTGCTATAAAGTTGACTCCGACTCATGACACCCATGTGTGTCAGAGTAGAACTGTGCTCCTTAAGGTTTTAAGTGGCCGATTTTTGGAAGTAGATCACAGGCCTTTCTTCTAAGATGTCTCTGGGTGGACTCAAACTTCCATCCTTTTGGTTAGTAGCTAAGTACGTTAACCGTTTGCACCGCCTAGGGACTCTGAGTATGGTGTTAGCCATAGGTTTTTCAGAGATGCCCCTTATCAGGTTGAGGTAATTCTCATCTATTCCTAGTTTGCTGAAAGTTTTTTTTTTTAGAAATGAATTTTGAAGATGATGTAATGCAATCATATGATTTCCCTTCTAGCTTGTTAATATGGTGAATTATATTGATAGATTTTCAAATGTTATACCATCTTTGCATTCCTTGGATAGACCTCAATTTGGTTATTATGTATTATTATTTTTATTTATTGTTGGATGTAATTTTCTAAAATATTTAGTTTTTGCTAAGGGATAATTCATAAGGGATATTGGTCTGTAGTTTTCTTTTGATGCCTTTGCCTTGTTTTGTTATCAGCATAATGCTAGTCTCATACCATAAGTAAGCAAGTATTCCTTCCTCTCCAATTTTCTGGAAGACATTGTATGGAATAGATATGCTTTCTTCCCTAAATGTTTGGTAGACTTTACGAGCAAAGCCATCTAGTCTTTGCTTTGTAGAAAAAAAATTTATTTAACAAGTCATTGTTGTTATTGTTAGGTGCAGTTGAGTCAGTTCCAGCTCCTAGAGACCATATGTACAACAGAACGAAACACTGCCTGGTCCTGGGCCATCCTCACAATCATTGTTATGCTTGAGCCCACTGTTGCAGCCACTGTGCCAGTCCATCTCATTGAGGGTCTTCCTCTTTTTCGCTGACTACGAGTTCCACTTCTTTAATAGATATGAAGCTATTTGGGTTATCGGTTTTTCATTACATCACTCCAAAGTAATGTTTTCATTACATCACTCCAAAGGCTGTGAAAATGCTAAGACAGATATTGATCTGTATGGGTTCATCTATTCAGAGTAGAATTTTAACCAGAAGCATAATTTTTGCTGCAATGTGAAACATCTCCCCATAGTCATGGTGCAGAAGGATGGTGTTAGGATGGCACAAAGTCATACTCGGTTTCAAGCTTACTTAATAGGATTGAAATTGATGCCTTGTGTATCACTATGGGGTACAATGCCTGTGCTCTGTGTTGTTGTCAGGTGCCATGGAGTCAATTTCGACTCATAGCGACCCCATGTGACAGAAAAGAACTGCTCCACAGGGTCTTCGTGGTTGCAGTCTATGGGAGCAGCCCATTGAATGAACTTTAGTAGTTTGTATCTTTCAAGGAATTTGTGCATTTCCTTTAAGATGGCAAATTTGGTGACAAAGTTGAATGTAAGATTCTCTTACTATTTTTTATGTATCTGTAGAACCTGTAGTGATATCACTTGTCTTATTCCTGATATTGGAAATTTGTGTCATATTTCTTTTTTCCCTGATAATTCTGTCTAGAGGTTTATCAGTTTTATTGATCTTCTCAAGGAACCAGCTTTTGGTTTAATTGATTCGCTCTACTCTTTTTTGTTTACTGTTGCATTGATTTCTGCTCTTTTTACTTCCTTTCTTCTGTTTATTTTGGGTTTAATTTATTCTCCTCTTTCTCATTTTTTAAGGGAGGAGATGAGGTCATTGATTTGAGACCTTTATTTTTTTCTAACATAAATGTTTATTGCTATGAATTTCCCTCTAAGTACTATTTATTAGCATCCCACATATGTTTATATGTTGTATTTTCCTTTTTATTTATTTTATGCTATTATATCTTTTACGTATGTTATAAATCAAAGTTTTATTATTTTTGTCTAAGCAGTCAATATTTGTAAAATATTTAAATACTTAAAAAAAAATCTTATACGTTTACTCCATAGTTACCATTTCCAGTGCCCTTCATTTGTGTAGAGCCAGATTGACATCAGATACCATTTTTCTTTGTCTGACGACTTCCTTTAACATCTTGTTGTGCACGTCTCATAGTTATGAAGTGTTTACTTTGTCTTCATTTTTGAAAGATATGTTTGCTAAGTATAGAATTCTAGGTTGACAGTGTTTTTCTTTCAGTATTTTAAAGATGTTGCTCCACTGTCTTGAAGCTTGCATTTTTTTGTGTGTGAGAAATCTGCCGACATCCTTACCTTTTTTTCCTCTGATTTAACGTGTCTAATTTCTCTGGCTGTTTGTAAGATTTCTGTTTATCAGTGATTGTGAGCAGTTTGATTATAATGTGCCTACAGTATACCTTTCTTTATGTGTATTGTATTTGGGATTCATTGAGATTATTGGATCTCTAGGTTTATAATTTTTATCAAATTTAAAAAAATGTTAGTCATTATTTCTTCAAATATTTACTGCCCCCCACACTTCTAGGGACTGTAATTGCACACGTATTGGACTGCTTGAAGTTGTCCTATAATTCACTGATACTCTGCTCATTTTTTTTCAGTATTTTTATTTCTGTCTTTTATTTTGGATAGTTTCTATTTATATGTCTTCAAGTTCACTAGTCTTTTTTTCTGCAGTGTCTAATCTGATGTTAATCCTATCCAATGAATTTCTCATCTCAGACATTACAGTTTTCATATCTAAAAGTTCAGTTTGGATCTTTTTTATTTGTGCCATGTCTCTACTTAACAAGCTTACTTTTTCCTGTGGCTTCTTCAATGTGTGTAATACAGTTACATTAACTGTTTAGTGTTCCCAACTACTGATTCTATCATCTATATCATTTCTGGGTCAGTTTTAATTGGTTAATTTTTCTCCACATTGTGAGTTGTATTTTCCTGCTTCTTTGCATGCCTAATAGTGTTTGCTTGAGTGCCAGGCTTAATAAATTTCACCTTATTGGGTGCTAGATATTCTTTTATTCCTATAAATATTCTTGAGCATTATTCTATAATGCAGTTAAGTTTCTTGATAACAGTTTGATTCTTTGAGTATTGATTTTAATATTGTTAGGTGGGGCATAAGTAGTATTTAGTTTATTATTGATAATACTATGCCACTACTAAACCAAACCCTTCTGTATACAGTACTTGGTGTCCCATAATTTATGATTTTTCCACTCTGTCCAGAAACAGGAACTATTCCTTGCTTGTCTAGGCTCTGAGTATTATTCCCTCTAATTGTTTCAGGTTTTTTTTTTGTTTTGTTTTGTTTTGTTTTCTTTTTTTTTTTTTAAACATGTATGTGATAGTCAGTAGTCAGCTGAAGACTTGAGGGAGACCCTCTGCAGATCTCTGGGGCCCTGTGTCTGTGCTGCTTTCTTCTCTCCACTACTCTAACCTGAAATCTCTGGCCTGTTGTCTTCCTAGGCTCCTATCTCCATCTCCTCTACTCAGGGAGACTACTGAGCTCTTCCTTCGTTCTCCCTTCCAGTGCTACAGCCTGGGCACCCTGGCAAGGCAGTAAGCTGGGCAATCAGAGGGCTCACCTCATTTTTTCCAGGTCTCTCAGGGATCAGTGTCCTTTTTTGCCTGATGGGCAGTGTCTTGAAAACTGTTGCCTTTCTTTATCTTGCTTGGATTTTTTAAGTTATTTCAGACAGGGCAGTAAATCTGATTCCTGCTACTCCAACTTGGCCACAAGCAGTTTCATCCTGGTTGATTTTAATTGCTTGATTTTTGGGGGAGTATGTAAATATTACCAACTTCCTAAGAGTAAGAAATAGATGAAAGGTCATATTCAGAAAGTGTCACCCTCCCCTCATCTCTTGTACCCTATTTGCTTCCCCTTTCTTTCCACCCTGTTCCTACATACTCCTTGTAGGTAAGCAGTCTCCTTAGTGTTCTGATTTATCTTTTTTTGTACAAATAAATGTTAACATATATATTTTTCATTTCCCCTCCTTAACAATTTCTAGAGATGGTAATGGAGTATTTGTAGTCACTGAGGGCAGAATTTTTGAGGACCCCAGCTTTATGCATGAGTTTCAGCTCCAGCTTCTTACTTTACTCTTCTGCTGCCGATAGTTGTAACATAGTTTTACAGTCTTCCTTAAAGGCTCCTTAAAGACTGCCACAGGTTATCTCAGGGATTAATGGTGTCAGGTTTTTTTTCTTTTCTTTTTTAAATCACCTTCTTGTTTCTGCCTTCTGGGAAGTTCTTTTTCTTTCTAGGTTCAGATGTGCATTTTAAAAACATATTAAAATATTTCATTTAGGGGTTTGGAGAGGAAGGATGTTCATGTTAATTTAGTTCACTATTTTGCTGGTCAGTGTGCACATACACTTGCACAGATGCACCTCCAACACACCATCTACCTCTTTAGGAGAGTTATGCAGAAAATGTCCAAATTAAATCAGTGAGGAATTAACTTGATTCAAGAGGCAGCTTTTTTGGCACAGGAAGCATTTAGATATCACCCCAAGGAAATTTGCCATATCCACAGTTTGAAGAATCAGCAATTAAGGTAGAAATCACTGATGGTAACCAAGATGGGAGGGAGTAGCTATGTTATTTTTGAAATGTACCATTCATAGAAAATGTGTTAATTTTAATTATCTTGTCTTCTGTCGTATACATTTTAGGCTATAATTCTGAAGAGAAATAAAATTCAAAGATTGGGAGCATCTGAACTCAACTTTTGGGTAAGGTTTAACGTTTTTAACACAGTTTCATCAAACTTTATTTTTTCATTTCTATAATCTGCATACAGATAATATGGTTAAAACCTTAATGATTTATATTTAGTATATTTTTTAAATAGCTGCTTATCTAAGATAGGAAATAGTCTTCAGCAAAGACTATAAGTCATTTTCAAGAAATTAATTCATTTATTTCAACACTACTCTCAGGTCTTTCTTCTTATACTGTTCATTCTATTATACCCACATTATCTTGCTCTTTAATTTCTTTCTACTCACCTTTAGTTTCTCTTTTTAGCTTTATTAACCTTCTCTTCTAAACAACTTGGCTTTTAGTTTTTTCCCAACTTTCCTATTTTCCTTCCTCTGCATCTTTCTACCATCTCTTTCCTTCTGCATACAACTTTGGATTCTATTATTTTTGTTCTTAGAACAACATTACCCCAGGCCTTCTTACTTCAACTCAGGCGCTAGCTAATCTTTGTCAGGCTTCTTTCCAAGTATCTAAATGGAGGTCCACGTTATCTCTATTTGTATTTTATTTATTTATTTTTTGTTTCCAGTAAAATAAGCATATTATTAGGTAGGTACTGCAGCTACTTAAATTTCTTAATGTTAGGTAGATTAAATTCACTATTTTTCTCTTTCATCTTTTATGTACTTCTCTTAAAAAAAAAAAACCTACCATATTGAAGAGCTGTGTGTTTACATATTATATATTAAAAGAATAAAACTGGAAAAAGTTAAGGTAAAATGAGGAGTGAGTTAGAGTTCTACTCAGATGCAAGGGTACAAATGGCATGATTGACAGTTTCCCACTACTGAGGCATTTTCCCATCACTCATGGGGAAGATATAGAAAGATTTGTGTACTAAATTGCTTATATGCAAGTTCAAGTTGAAACTGAAGAAAATTAGAAAAAGTCCATGAGGGCCAAAGTACAATCTTGAGTATAAAAAACAAAACTGAACCTGTTGCCGTCGAGCTGATTCCTACTCATAGCAACCCTATAGGACAGAGTAGAACTGCCCCATAGAGTTTCCAAGGAGTGCCTGGTGGATTCGAACTGCTCACCTTTTGGTTAGCAGCTATAGCTCTTAACCACTATACCACCAGGGTTTCCAACAGAGTAGAACTACACTGCAGGGTTTCTAAGTAGTAGATTGTGGATTCAAACTGCCAACCTTTTGGTTAGTAGCCAAGGCTTTTACCCACTGCATCACAGCCTTGGAAACCTTGAGTATATCCCACCTGAATTTAGACCATCTCAAGAATAGATTTGATGCATCGAAGACTAATGACTGAAGACCAGACGAGTTGTGGAATGACATCAAGGACATCATACATAAAGAAATCAAGAAGTCCTTAAAAAGACAGGAAAAAAAGAGAAGACCAAAATAGATGTCAGTAGAGACTCTAAAACTTGCTCTTGTACGTAGACTAGCTAAAGCAAAAGGAAGAAATGATGAAGTAGAAGAACTGAACAGAAGATTTCAAAGAGCGGCTCGAGAAGACAAAGTAAACTATTATAATGAAAAGTACACAGACCTGAAGTTAGAAAACCAAAAGGGAAGAACACGCTCGGCATTTCTCAAGATGAAGGAACTGAAGGAAAAATTCAAGCCTTGAGTTGCAATATTGAAGGATTCTATGGGGAAAATATTAAATGGCACAGAAAGCATGAAAAGAAGATGGAAGGAATACACAGAGTCACCGTACCAAAAAGAATTGGTTGATGTTCAGCCTTTTCAGGAGGTAGCATATGATCGAGAACTGATGATACTGAAGGAAGAAGTCCCAACCACACTGAAGGCACTGGCGACAAACAAGGCTCCAGGAATTGACGGAATATCAATTGAGATGTTTCAACAAACGGATGCAGCATTGGAAGTGCGCACTTGTCTATGCCAGGAAATTTGGAAGACAGCTACCTGGCAACCGACTGGAAGAGATCTATATTTGTGCCCATTCCAAAGAAAGGTGATCCGTCCGAATGCAGAAATTATTGAACAACGACATTAATATTACACACAAGTAAAATATTGCTGAAGATCATTAAAAAGTGTCTGCAGCAGTACGTTGACAGGGAACTGCCAGAAATTCAAGCTGAATTCAGAAGAGGACTTGGAATGAGAGATATCATTGCTGATATCAGATGGGTCTTGGCTGAAAGCAGAGAATACCAGAAAGATGTTTACCTGTGTTTTATTGACTATGCAAAGACATTCGACTATGTGGGCCATAACAAATTATGGATAACATTGTGAGAATGGTAATTCCAGAACACTTAATTGTGCTCATGAGGAACCTGTACGTAGACCAAGAGGCAGTCATTCAAACAGAACAAGAGGATACTGCGTGGTTTAAAATCAGGAAAGGTGTGCATCAGGGTTGTATCGTTTCACTGTACTTAATCTGTATGCTGAGCAAATAATCTGAGAAGCTGGACCATATGAATAAGGATAGGGATCAGGATTGGAGGAAGACTTATTAACAATCTGCAATATGCTGATAACACAACCTTGCATGCTGAAAGTGAAGAGGATTTGAAGCACTTACTGATGAAGATCAAAGACTACAGCCTTCAGTATGGATTACACCTCGGCATAAAGAAAACAAAAATCCTCACAACTAGACCAATAAGCAACATCATGATAAATGGAGAATATACTGAAGTTGTCAAGGATTTCAGTTTACTTGAATCCACAATCAACGCCCATGGAAGCAGCAGTCAAGAAATCAAACCACATATTGCATTGGGCAAATCTGCTGCAAAAGACCTATTTCAAATGTTAAAAGGCAAAGATGCACTTTAAGGACTAAAGTGTGCCTGACCCAAGCCATGGTGTTTTCAGTCACCTCGTGTGCATGCGAAAGCTAGACAGTGAATAAGGAAGACCGAAGAAGAATTGACGCCTTTGAATTATGGTGTTGGCAAAGAATCTTGAACATACCGTGGACTGCCAGAAGAACAAACAAGTCTGTCTTGGAAGAAGTACAGCCAGAGTGCTCCTTAGAAGTGAGGTTGGTGAGACTTTTTGTCTCTGGTACTTTGGACATGTTATCAAAAGGGAAGAGTCCCTGGAGAAGGACATCATGCTTGGTAAAGTATACGGTCAGCGAAAAAGAGGCAGATACTCAGTGTGGTAGATTGACACAGTGGCGTCAGCGGTGGACTCAAACATAACAAAGATTGTGAGGAAGGTGCAGGACCAGGCGGTGTTTGTACATAGGGTCGCTGTGAGTTGGAATTGACCGGACACAGCTAACAACAACACTAAACTGTTAGATGACATGACTCTTTCAGTGTATGACTTTTTCACTTTAGAAAATTGGGCAGTATTAAAAAAAATATTAAAATAGCCTGAAAATTCAAAGATCCTCTTTAGAAAACAACTCAAAAGAAAATCAAATAGGCATTTACATAAGATTGAAAAACGATAACAAGTAGAACAGTGTTATTGGACATTTAAGGAGTTCTGCCAAAGCTCTACTCAGAGGGAAGATAATTGTCTTAAATATGTTCAGTAGTAGACTGGAAAGAATAAAAATTAAGCTTTCAACTCAAGAATATCAAACAAATAACAACAACAAAAATAAAAATCCAAGCAGAGAAAAGTTGAAATATAACCAGTGTTCAGCTTATATTTAAATTTTTTGAAACTGTTACGATTTATACAAGAGAGAAAAATGAATCATGCTAGTCATCTAAAAAAGCAAGCAAATAAACAACAAACCCAACAGCTTTGCTGGCTTTTTATAGCTTTTTTATGGAAAGCAGACAGAGAAAAAAAGCAAATACTTTGTGAACTAACACTTTTTCTTACAAAAACTTGTTTTAATGCCCTGGGTATGAAAGTTATATTGTATATCTTTCTCTGCCATAATAAATTTGAAAACAAGAAAGTTTTTATGTTTTTTACACTGAATTGCAATATAGCAATCTATAGAAAAATTGTCACTCATGAGTGATCAAAATTTAATTTTAATGTTGTTTACCACATTGTGACAAGTTGCAAAGAAGATTATTTTTTAGCCTCCCTAGGTATTAAGTATTCTTATATATATGTATCTTTAGCAAAGATAATTCTTTATAACATAGAGCCTGAAAAAGGCACTTTTAGGCCTAACAGATTCACTATAAATTTTCCTTCAATAGAAACTGAATCCATGCTTACTTGTAGGGATACTCAGAGTAAAGACAGATTAGTCTCAACTGAATAAGAATCAGATTGACATAAAATTGTCATCTGAAGGAAGAAGGGAACAAGAAGACAAAAGGGCAGCATTTTCAAGGTGCTGAAGGAAAATAACTTGGACCTTAAAATAAGTTGAGTAAACCTTCAAAATGATCGTAAATTAAGTAAGGTATTAGGTGTTTCCATTTAAAATCAAGATCAAGATAACTATGCTATTTCACATTTTACTAGAGGTCCTAGCTAACACAGTAAAGCAAAAAAAAAGTAAATCACAAGAATAAGGCCTGGAAAGTAAGAAGCAAAACTCACTATTCAAAGATAGTCACATTATTTACACAGAAAACATAAAAGAATCTACAGACATTTTGTTAGGAATTATAAGAATTCAGCAATAAGATCAATTGTACTTCTATTCTCTGGCAAAAGACAGAAAATGTATTTTTGAAATTTTGCTGTATATATTATCATGAAAAAATACGTAGTATCTTTGAATAAATCTAACAAAATGTATATAACATTTGTATGGAGAAAATTATTTAAAAATTGTTACGACATAAAGAATGTCCAAATATATGGAGAAATATGCAATTTTAAGCCTGCGACTATTCCGTATAATAAATTTGTCAGTTCTCTCCAATTGATGTTTAGGGTTAAAGTAATTCCAACCAAAATCCAACAGTTTTTTTTTTTTTTTTAAGTCACTTAATTAATTCCAAAATTCACATGAAAGAATAAGATCTGAGAATAATCAAGATACTGCTGAAAGAAAAGAGAGAGAGAAAGAAAGAAAGGGGGAAGGGAAAGAGAAGTAAGGAGAGAAAATAAAACAGGTGAAAGAGTGGGGAAGGACTTCCCCTGTCAGTAATCAAGATTGAACGTGACAGTTAAGACTGTGTGAAATCGGCTCAGCAAAGGGTTTGGTTTGGCTTTTTGGTATTGAGGTAGGATTAGATAAATTGACCAATGAAGTAGAATGGAGATCCTAGAAACAGGTCTATGCCTGTATGGAAGGTTGATGTACAAAAGAGATCACTTTTCAGTTAATGGTGCTGGAATAATTCATTATATTGAAAAAAGGAGCTCTGGTGGCACAGTGGTTAAAGTGCTCAGCTGTTAACCGAAAGGTCAGCGGTTTGAACCCACCAGCTGCTCCTTGGGAGAAAGATGTGGTGGTCTGCTTCCATAAAGATTTCCAACCTTGGAAAACCTATGGGGCAGTTCTGCTCTGTCCTGTAGGATCACTATGAGTTGGAATCTACTTTTCCAACCTTGGAAACCCTATGGGGCAGTTCTACTCTGTCCTATAGGATCACTATGACTTGGAATCCACTTGATGGCAGTGGGTGCATATTGAAAAAAGACTCACATCATATCATTTCCAGATTTGGCTACTATGAATCCTTCCAACTGCTTGTATTAAATTTTTTTAAATCTGTTCTGATTTAGGCTTCTTGTAATTTAGTCTTTTTTAAAACAATATGTTCTCCTTTTCCATTTCTTTTCTGTGTTTAATGAAGTCTGTCTTTTTTTTCTTTCTACTTTTGTCCTTTTCTGTCTGTTCTTAGCTTTTGAATTTCTGATACAAGGGTTTTTTTGTTTTGTTTTGGTTTAATTGAATATTTGTTTAAAGATGCTGAATTCAGTTTTTAATTCTGTATTACAGTTTTCTTCTGCTTCATTGGATATTTGTTATTGTTGTTTGGATTTCATTAGCTGAAATGTTGTGATTCTCATTTTTTTGTTACCTTCTTGTAGAAGCTTTGTATATATACATATGCATCTTTTATCTAATCATTTTGTACTGCTGCCCTAATTATTTTGTGCTAGTCCAAGTATAGCCTCTTTTGTCAGTGTAGCCAAAATGCAGTTTATTTTCTATGAATAGCTTGATCTATGTGTGTAAGAGAGAGATGAAAGTGGTGATTGTCTTTTGAGTTCTTTTTTTTTTTTTTTTGGTTCCCATTTGTCTGCAGGATACTAAATTTTTCCTTCTTGCTTATTGTTTATTTCACTATCCCTTCTTCAAAGGGTCCCTCTCCCTTCCTTGTTATCCGTCTCCCAGAAGTAATGCTTTTCTGAGATAAATACTTTTCATCCTGCACAATTTTCAGTCCCTACGCTAGGGGCTATATTCCAATCTACCAAGGCTCTTTTCCCACGTAAGGTGGACTTTTTCATTATGAGGCTATTTTAGCTCAGTTTTTGGCCCTTCACATCCCTTTTCTCTCTCTTACATAGCTCTATGGGACTCCTCTCTCTTTCTCCAAAGGCATAGATCAGGAACTTGAGATATATCTCTGCTGTGTTTGGCGTTTATTTTTCTCCTTACAAGTATTTGAAGTTTGTGCTGTTACCTATTTTCTATGTATGTGGTTTTATCGTTCCGTTTGTTGAGTTGCATAATTTTTTGGAGGATGTGTTTAGAGATTTGAATTTAGGCTGCTATAATTTTCCTCAGGCTACCTAGAAATCTACATTTGTTATTTTTTATATCAAGGCTAGCTAAAACGGAGAGTTAATAAACAGAAAACAAACAGAAACCCCTGTTTAAGTTTTAGTCCATATTTCTCTTTAAAAGGAAAGCTTAAGTTTTCAGATTTCAAATTTTCGTTTCTCAAAGAAGGACTCATAAAATTACATTTTCACAGAAGTGGTAGAAGAAATTTTATTGTAATGTTTTGGGGCAAAAAAAATTTTCAGCTGAGAAATAATATTTGAAAACGAACACATAACCCCTCTCTTATCTTAGCAAAAATTGAAAAGAAATAACTGTTTAGAGATTCCTTTGGGTTTAGGATATGTAGAACTCCAGTGTTGCTCTATGGTTAATACAGTGTCATCAGTTTCAGTTCTTTTGCATTAAACAAAATTTTCATCCCTTTTTTTAGACCTCACTACTAAGATACCTCACATGATTACAATTTTCCTGTCATGTATAGATATGATGGAATATTCTGCTGGGTAATTTGTATTTTTAGTACCTGACTTCTATCTATTTCATTTATTTTCTAGCTAATTCAAGGTTGTGTTTGGTGGTTTGGAACAATTATTTTGAAATTTTTGACATCTAAAATCTTAGGCGTTTCAGACCATGTAAGTACTTTCTAGTTAAAACATAAAAGTTTCTATAAATATGTAGCTGAGTGGAAACAGTGAAATCTTCTATTCTGACCTCTTCATTTTATAGAAGTTAAGTGCCTCCTTCAAGGTTTTTAAGTTAGTTATTGGCAGAGCCAATATCAAGACTTTACAGTCCAATAATCTTCTCAACTTGCTTAGAAAGAAAGTACATGGTGAATGTTGACCTAGTGTTACAGATTGAGTTGTGTCCCCCAAAAACATGTGCTGTAAATCCTAACCTCTTATCTTACTCTGGGTTTTCTAGAGGAATAAAACCAGTGAAGCATATGTAGATATATGTCTGTAGACAGAGAGAAATTTACTTTAAGGAAATGGCTCACACAATTATGAGGAAATGGCTCACTCAGTTGTGGGGGCGGGCAGGTCCCAAATCCATGGGTCAGACAACATCCTGAAGACCTCTGCTGGCTCATGTGGTTGCAAGGGCTGATGAACCCAAAGTCTTCAGGTCAGACAGCAGGCTAGAGGCCTCTGCTGGCTCATGGGGTTGTCGGGCAATGAATCCAAATCTGCAGGTCAGGCAGCAGGCCACAGACTTTTGCAGACTTACGTCCCAAGAACCAGAGGTCAAGGGATGAGAAGAGTACAGGGTCGAGAAAATAAAGTAAGCTTTGCCAGAATATCCTTTTATATACTGGAGGTAGGCCACATCCGCAAGGAAACTCCACTTTCAACTGATCGGCTCCTCACATCAAATCACGAAATGGAAAGTGATTACATAGGGTCTGCCAAACCACTGAGAATTATGGCGTAGCCAAGTTAACATATAATGTTAACCATCATATCCCTATGCCTGTGGTTATAATACCATTAGGAAATCGGTTTTGTCTGGTATGTTAATGAGGCAGAATTAGTATGGGGTGTGTCTTAAGTCAATCTCTTTTGAGGTAGAAAAGAGCAGATTAAGCAAGCAAGCAAGCAAGCACAAAATGAGAGAAGATACACACCAAGAAACCTAGGAATAGAAGCTGAAAAAAGACAAAGAGCTTCCCCCAGAGCAGGCAAACAGAGAGAGCCCTCCCCTACAGATGGTGCCCTGAATTCAGACTTCTAGCCTCCTAAACCATGAGAAAATAAATTTCTGTTCATTAAAGCCACCCACTTGTGGGGTTTTTTTTTTTTTTTTTTCATTTGATAAAATGTCGTTTTTTTTTTTTTAATTGTACTTTAGATGAAGGTTTACAGAACAAACTAGTTTTCTCATTAAACATTTAGTACACATATTGTTTTATGACATTGGTTAACAACCCCATGACATGTCAGCACTCTCCCTTCTCGACCTTGGGCTCCCTATTACTAGCTTTCCTGTCCCCTCCTGCCTTCTAGTCCTTGCCCCTGGGCTTGTGTGCCCCTTTAGTCTTGTTTTGTTTTATGAACCTGTGTAATCTTTGGCTGAAGGGTGAACTTCAGGAGTGACTTCATTACTGAGCTAAAAGAGTGTCCGGGGGCCATACTCTTGGAGTTTCTCCAGTCTCTGTCAGGCCAATAAGTCTGGTCTTTTTGTGTGAGTTATGGTTTTGTTCTACATTTTTCTCCAGCTCTGCCCGGGACCCTCTATTGTGATCCCTGTCAAAGCAGTCAGTGGTGGTAGCTGGGCACCGCCTGGTTGTACTGTACTGAGTCTGGTGGAGGCCATGGTAGTTGCGGTCCGTTAGTCCTCTAGACTAATCTTTCCCTGGTATCTTTAGTTTTCTTCATTCTCCCTTGCTCCCAAAGGGGTGAGACCAGTGGAGTATCTTAGGTGTCTGCTTACAGGATTTTAAGACCCCAGACACTACTCACCAAAGTAGAATGTAGAACATTTTCTTTATAAACTATGTTATGCCAATTGAGCTAGATGTTCCCCAAGTCCATGGTACCCACAGCCCTCAGCCCAGCAAGTCAGTCCCTCAAGGAGTTTGGATGTGTATATGGAATTTCCATGACCTTGCCTTGTACACCACTTGTGGTATTTCTGTTAATAACAGCACTAGATAAGCAAGACAGTATTTTGTACTAGAGAGGGGGGTGCTGCTCTAACAAATACCTAAAATGTGGAAGTGGTTTTTGAATTCAGTAATGGGTGGAAGCTGGAGGAGTTAAAAGGTGCCTAACAGTAAAAAGCTTAGATTGCCCTGAAGAGACTGTTGGTAGAATTATGGACATCAAAGGCAATTCTGGTGAGGGCTCAGAAGGAAGTGAGGAGAGCTGTACAGAAAATCTCTATTGTTTTAGAGAATACGTATGGCTCCAAAAACAGAATGTTTCTAGAAACATGGGTTAAATGTGCTTCTGGTGAGACTTTAAAAGGAAACGATGAACATGTGGTTAGACACTGGAGGAAAGGTACTGTTTTTTTGTGCAGTGGCAAAGAGCTTGTCTGAATTATGTTAAAATCTTTGGTGGAAGATAGAACTTGTAAGTGATGAACTTGGAGAGTTGGCTGAAGAGATTTCTAAGCAAGAGCTTAAAGGGGCAGCATGGTTTCTCCTTGCTGCTTACAGTAGAAGGCGGGAGGAAAGAATTCTACAGACGGGAAGTGGCCCAGTGGAGCGACTTGGTTCCAAACATCTGTTGATGTCCTAGAAAAGGAAAGGACCATCCCTGGAGCATTTCCGGGATCAGGAGAACTGTTGGAAGGAGCACAGGAAGCAGGACTGCCTTGGCTTCAAAGGTGGGGCCACAGCCTCCTGGGTTTCAAAGACTGGAGCCACAGCCTCTTGCATTTCAAAAGATGGAGCCATGCCCTCCTAGGTTTCAAAGAGTCAGATCTCCACCATCTTGGTTCTGGAGTGTGGGGCTGCTATTCGGGTGAGCCAAGAGGATAGAGCTACTGCCCAAGGCTGAGGGATCAGGACTGCCATGCCCAAGAGGCAGGAGAACGGAGCCTGCCAGTGCCAAGAGAGTGGGGTCACCACTCAGATGGACTAGGAGAATAGGGCCACCCAAACCCGAGGGAGCAGAGTTGCCATCCCACTGGGCCTGGAAGGTGGGGAAGAAGCCCAGGGCTGAGGGGCCTCCACCCAGATCCAGAGAGCATGGCCAACATCCAGAGTCTGGTGGATGAGTGTCCGTTGTCCCTTATTTCCTTTCAGTTTTTCCCATTTGTAACAGAAATGTCTACTTTGTACCTGTTCCACCACTGTAGTTTGGAAGCAGAAAACTTGTATTCTAGATTTCACAGTGACACCAATGAAGAGGAATTGTGCCCCAGGATAGAGTATACCTAATGTGTCACCCATATTTGATTTAGATGATTCAGAAAATGAGAATTTGGACTTGGAGGTGATTTAAGTCTTTTGGGATGATGTGATGGAGTGAATGTTTTGCAGGTGGGAAGGACATGAATTTTTGGGGGCCAAATGGTGGAATGTTATGGCATGAATTGTGTTTCTCAAAAATATGTGTTGTAAATCCTAACCCCTATTCCTGTTGTTATAATCCCCCTTGGCCATGGGTTTTCTCTGGTATGTTATTGAGGCAATATTAGTGTAGGCTATGTCTTAAGTCAATCACTTTTGAGATTTAAGAGAGCAGATTAAGAAAGCAAGCAAGAAAACACAAAATGGAGGGGAAGATACATGCCACATGATCACCAAGGAACCTAGGAATAGAAGCTGAAAAGAGACAAGGACTTTCCCCCAGAAAGAACAGAAAGAACCCTCCCCAAGAGCCATTGCCGTGAATTTGGACTTCTAGCCTCCTAAACTGTGAGAAAATAAATTTCTGTTTGTAAAAGCCACCCACTTGTGGTATTTCTGTTACAGCAGCACCAGATAATCAAGACACCTAGTTTTCTAGGAAAACAATTTGTTAAGTAGCCATTTGTTTTATGCTTCAGTTAAAATATAAATAATCATTTATTTAAATGATAAGTTATTTATTGATTGCACATGTTAATATTATTTAGCTTTGGAATGAAGAACCCCTGAAATCTCAATATAGTTTTAAGCATTTATAATTATGGGCTAAAATTAAGATGTGACTTGATATTTTTAAAAATTGTGTTATAAAAAATGATAATGTGAAAAGTTTTATAATTTATCATCTTCTAGAAAGTATGCATAGATCACTTACCTCTCTTTTGTGGTGTTTCTGTTTTAATGCTAATGTCTTAAGTATTGGCCCCTTTCAAGGCGTAAGTCCTGAAATCTAGTATCAGAAGCTGTGTAACTTCACTAGGGGGTAGGAGAATCAGGATCAGCACAAAGCTGGTTCCTATGAGGTGGAGGTCAGATATACCTCCACTCCTCAAATTCTTCACGATTTCTGACACCAGCCACCCTCACTCGCACAGCACTCTCTACTTCTTTGCTGGGTTCTATAATTTGTTGCAATGGCCACACAGAACTCATAGACCATACTCACAATTATGTGGTTTATTAAGGAAGTAACAGGCTACAACTTGGAGTCAGGATCAACTTGGAAGTAACAGGATACAATTTAGGCGGCAGGATGCAGTTGTATAATTAGGACAGCTTTGAATCAAGACAGCTCTCAGCTTCTCCTTGTTCATGCCCGCTGGTAGGCCCTTCACTTGGCCGTGCCCACTGCTGGGTCTTCTCTCGGCCATGCCTGCCTTTTCCAGGCCTCTGCCTTGCTCAGACAAGTGTTACAGCTCTTTAGCTCTGCCATCAATTGTCCAGAGGCATCCTGCTCTGCCGGCAAGTCTCCTACCGGAAGGTACTCAGCTCTTTCTCATTCAGTGGGCTGGCAAGCCCACCACAGCCATCTGCCAGTCCCATGGTTCTCACCGCTTGTAATGCTGCTACCATTTCTCTGCCACTGGGCTCTGCTGTGCTTGCTGCTGCTTCTCACTCTCTTCAGTGTTACAGCTCTCTCTTCTGGGTCTAGGTGGTTCTAAGTACAGGGACCTGGGTCCATACTCTGTTCCAGGCTCCTCTGATGTTAGTGAGGTCCCCCTCAACCTCTGTGGGACTGGTCCTTATGTCAGCCTACTCCTTGTCAATTTC